AATGACATCCGCCTGTTGTATAACCCATCCCTCAGCAATGACGCTTCCATTCCACCACCCTGCTGCCACTTTCGACTATTTCAATTATTGGAATTAGGAACCCACCAATGTACGTCAATTGTTATCAGGGGAAGAAAAGATTTTTAAAAAAACAGTCTGTTATCTGAGTGCTGTTAAAGCAAAAGTAATATGTAGGACTCAGTTATCTTAGATAACACACTTCCTTTACATTTTCCTAAAGCGGGTGTCATCAGCATGGTGGCATACCAGGTGGCAAGAACCACATGAAATCAAGTGTTCCATACAGTGTTGATAATTGTTTCCAAACTTGTTAAATCATTCATGATTGTGACAAATCATGAACATGATCAATATCTTTGCATTGATTGAAATTTATTATTTATAAAAACATCAAATGAAAGGTAATTTGAGCAAAAGAGAGGTTATTGCAGAAGTGTTTATCAAACTGGTGACCATTTTGTATTCTTCAGGAACCTAGAAGTAGCTCTCATTTTCAATATTTTACATTCCCGTTTACACACATTTTTTTAAATTATATAACTCATCTATGAATTACGTCCTACATCTGTCTATTTGAAAAATTAAATCTGCCCCATCAACACAGTTAGCCTGCCCCTTATAGACACTCAGAGGACACACGTCAAGATCTACTGTACATCAACATTCTGCCTGTTCCAAAACGGTGGACTAAATTAAGAGTACATTTCTAATTGTCGGGCCCTGCATGGAACAATTTTAGAAAAACAAATGACTAGAAACACTTCTATCGAGTTCAACGCCAATCGCAAAGTACAACCACTCTCTGGCATCCGAATCCCCTTATATCTGTGCAATGGTAATTTTGATAAAGCGCTTATACTGAAACGGATGAAATACTGCAGGTGTCCCTAACGTTGCATCATTGTGATATACCTCGAGTTTCATTCCTTATCTGACAATCTCACTTCCCTGCCTATTAAACCCGCTTGCCCCCAATGTTAAAAGCGCTGATGTGCAACAGACATTTTTTTTTACCTCTCTCCTTAGTCTTCACTTTTACAATGTGCCATAAAGCCACCACTGACAAACACTCTGTTGTTTCATTAAAGGTATGGCAGGCAGTCGACTGCGCAGCAACGGCCAATCTCCTCTTTCTCTGCGAGCTCCGGTGAAAGCTGTTGCCCCTGTGGGCTCAATGGCATCTCGTCAGCCTTCCAGAGGGCTGCCTGTTATCCAAGCACCGCCTGCTTCGGGCGCTCGCCGGGTCCAGCCTGCTGGCTCTACTAATGGCGGACCCATTCCAGGCAGAGCGTCCACTGGCGCTGGGCGGACCTCTGTGGCCCGAGGACAGTCTCTATCCACCAGAAGCAAACTATCACAGCCGGCCAGGAGGTAAGCGCCACAAAACACTTTGGAAGCCCGAATGATGAATATAATCTGTTTGCATGGTACTGCTTGATGTCCAACTTGTTGTCATTTCTAAATAACGTTTCCCTGAAAGAAATTGTTGGCGGGAATCAGTTTGTTTCAGACGTGAGTTGTCGCCTTCACAAAAGCATGATAAATCGACAATGGTTTAATGACATTTTACCCTTCTCAACCGTCATACGAGTATAAAGAATCACTGAATGATGAAGTAAAAGTCAAATAAAGAAAACTACCAACACTTTGAAGACTGTTGACATACATGTGTTTGGGCAATATTGTCACCTAGTGCAGGGGTCCCCAACTGCCGGTCCGCGGACCGGTACCGGTCCGCCGGGCATTTGGTGCCAGGCCGCACAGAAAGAATTTGCCTTAATTCCGTTTTATTTATTTCGGAA